CAGTTGGCGCTATTTCCCAAATGAGATGGTGTTCGTTTCTTCCTTCTTTTCTATAGAGGACTCATTCAGGACTACCTCATCGCTTACACGTGCCCTTTTAATAAAGTGACAGTCAACGCATCCAAGTGGAAGGAAATTGAGAAAAAAATCATTGCCAGTGCTGGCACAGAACGTCCGACTGTAGACGTGAATTTTCGACACACAGTGCCATCACGTTGGGGATGCGCAGTTGTCGTGGTGAATGGTGAGTTTACACCCACCCACACCGCGGTTTACATCCTGTGGAAGCGTTGCATTAGAGTTGTGTACGGTGGTGTTTCGTTTCATTCTCAGACAGCATATACATGATCGGTGGCAGGAATGAGGACGGAGACGTGTCTAGGCTGGTTGACCGAGTAAACCCTTTCGACAGTAGCGTTTCCAATTCAACGCCGATGGTGAAGGCACGCTGCGCGTCTTCTGCTGCTGCTGCTGCTGCTGCTGATAATGCAGTGAACGGTCAGCAGCTCTTCGTATTTGGAGGAAATAATGGTGAAACCCAAATGTCGTCTTGCGAGAAATTCCACCCTGCAACGAACAGGCAAGTTGGTCTTATAACAATCACGAGAGTCGTTATTTTATTTGAAAAGGTTGTGGATGAAATCCGATGATTGTCAGTCTTCAATGCACACGCACCACTTTAGCAGATGATTTTTGCAATTAAAAAACGGGAAATATCAACATCGGACAATGAGAGTTCGTCACACGTAAATCGCAATAAGATGGAAGAGCTTTGACAGTCAGGTCAAAAGTCCATCAACCCCTGATAGAGTTGATAAGGAGACAGAGGTGGCATTTGGTAGCTGATGGCGTTGATTTTGCCCACTTAAGGTGGACTCCATTGCCAGATATGCCCACCCGACGTTCCTTCAGTGGTGCGGCGAGAGTCCCTGGCGTGGGCGTCGTTGTGGTTGGCGGGAACAATGATGTTAGTGGGAACTTGTGCACAGCAGAACTGCTCTCATGCAGCACGGAAGACAATGGCGTCGAGAACTGGTCGTGGCGCCGACTTGCGCCAATGATGAAACCTCGCACTTATCCTGGTGTCGCCTACTTTCGCGGTCGCGTCGTCGTTGCTGGCGATGTCCATTGCGTCAACAATGGTGTTGAGTGCCTTCGTCTTCCTGCTGGTGACAACGATCCCGGTCAGTGGACGCAACTTGAAGCACCTGAAAATGGCACACCCCAGACAAGGTCGTTAGTTGTTTTGAATGAGAGACTTCACCTAGCAGGTGAGCTCCCTTCGCGTGATCGTCACACTAACGAAATTTCGACCATGTAGAGGTACTGGCGAACACGCGTGATTAGCTGGTTTTACGTGTAGCCTCACTGCAACTCCATAATGCACTGCAACTTCAACCGATTTTCTCGTTTTGTTTAGATCGTGACGGAAATGTGCATGAATTTGTTCCAGCATCAGAATCTAGTGTAAGCACAGCAAATTTAACAATTCATTTCCAAACATGAACGACGGATCCTCTTACCCATTTTTTTTACCTTAGGCGTTGACACTTAAGGAGTTTACATGGAAGCCGATTTTCACCATTCAAAACGTTGCCCTCCTACAACTTGCAGTGCTGCAGAAACAGCGTTAGTCGGTAACAACGATCGTCCAACGGTTTTTGACATCGTGGTGCAGTTTCTTTTGTATCAAATTCAGTCAAATAAAGGTCTTAATAAGTTAACTCGATGTCCGTAAAACTTGAATGCGATTAAGGGAGGTAGAAATGAAAACAATTGTTTTATTAAAAGATGTGTTAGGAGAGTGTTAGGCGTAAACATAAGACTGTTTGGGATGGCGTTGAAGCATGGTGACATTTATGCGATCTAATCCAATTAGCAAGCTGCTTTTTCTGATCTTCAATATCCAAGATTTACATAACTGCCAGAGACATTTTGCCCGTATTATGGTTCCAGACTCAATAAGTACACGTGGAACACTATTTTCACCGCAGTGCACTCCACTTACTACGCCCAAAATCGTGTTGGTGGTTGCTAGTCTCTTGAGCACGATGAATCGATGGCGGTGTGCTGTTGACACTCATTTACATCTCCTTGCAGAGGTTTCTATCATGTTACAATTAGCCAAAAACGGTTGAATTGAGCTGAAGTAATGATCCATCCAAATGAAACCGAATTTTTCTCAGTGTTTAAATTATACTGTAAAAGTACAAGTAGCCTATTTTCCTAGAGATTCGTATTTGGTTAATGGCTAGAGCACCAAACGTACACAGTAATGCTAAGTGAGACCAGACGGTGACAGAAATGTCTCCCCGGAATTCTCACAATAGCAGGGTTACCACAGCACTTCTTACACGCCTTTAACTCGGTCTTCGATATGCTACACATTACTGTAAATGAGACTTATGCAAAGATTTACTTAGGGAGTGAAAAGCGAGTTGAAGGTGTTTGCTAATCACCTTAGTGCGTTTGTATTTAAAATTCTCGCAAAGTTACCGCAAGTGCATATTCAACCCAACTGCTGCAACCTCATAATACGCAGCACGTTTAATTGATGGTCGATGACTCCTTTCGGTTACTAGAGGTGTTACGAGAATACGACTTATAAATGTATCGAATGACGAGGACCAAAAAGGCATAGCATGTTATCCCGAAATGGAATTGCTGTCGCACATGTGCCATTAAACATTTACTCATCAAAGTTAGAACTGCTGATGGGCATCCTATTGGCTGCGAATACCGGACCCGTTTCTGACGTGCTCTAGCTCCATGTCTAGCTAATCGAAGCCACATCTAGTTTGTTAGCCGAGACAAAACGTGCGATAGTTGTTCCGTACATGAAGTGGCAGCAGGTGGCCCACGACCGGTGGAAATAGCATCACCAGAATTTGCCGCAACACTGCATTTACTGCCGAAATTAGGATGGCAACAAACAACGTTTGCATATACAAGACATGTGATCCGGAGACGGTCTTGATGATATTTTTGAAGGGCTATTTGTCTAAGTTTAGTGGTTTAATTAAAATTAAATTACCGCTATTTACGTAAGAGAAGTAACTTGTTTATTAGAAATCTGTCCTTGAAGTCAAATATGTCTCTACTGTTATGGTAAGAGCTCCAAAAGTGTTCGGTGTGGTCAGAAAAGACCAGATGATTAAGCAATATCTACCCGGAATTCGCACAAGGATAGTAATACTTCACCATTTCCCACACGCTCTTAACGTGACCATTGATATATTACTGTATTCTGCAAACAGGACTTCACGAATTGTCAGTGTGTGCACAGCCTTGTAGCAGTCAATACGCATTGCATGCATTTTTTGACAAAATGAAGGTGGCTGCTTTATCGCCGCATATCTGCTCGACTTGGCTACCGATAAAGAGGATAATCGATTTTCGAACTCCGTATATATGCAATCACTGGCTGGCTATCCGCCAGCGCTCTGACACTCGATTCCCTGGTCTGGAGATGGCGAAATCGCAGACAGACTTACGCGTAGACGTTAGAAAGTGTGTGGCTACGCGTCATGGGGTTCGTTCGTAGGTCAAATCACACATTCAGGGGTTTTCCCCAACACCACTCCTCACTGTATGACATGTTAACCTGAGGTTGCCTGTCGTAAATTTGATGTCAGCCTTAAAAATTGCAATACCTCCTTATTAGTCTCAAACATGGTGTAAATTTGAACCCGCACTAGATTCAAGTGTTAGCATATCACATATTCATTTTCAATGTTCGAACTTTACATAACTGCCAGATATATTTTGCCCATTTTGGGATTTGCCACTTGAGAAGTACACGAGGAAGACGATAATCACATCTTATAACTTGCACAGTGCACTCCACTTACTACGCCCAAAATCGTGTTGGTGGTTGCTAGTCTCTTGAGCACGATGAATCGATGGCGGTGTGCTGTTGACACTCATTTACATCTCCTTGCAGAGGTTTCTATCATGTTACAATTAGTCAAAAACGATCGAACTGAGCTGAAGTAATGATCCATCCAAATGAAACCGAATTTGACTCAGTGTTTAAATTATACTGCAAAAGTATAAGTAGCCTATTTTCCTAGAGATTCGTATTTGGTTAACGGCTAGAGCACCAAACGTACACATTAAAGTTAAGTGCGACCAGACGGTGACAGAAATGTCTCCCCGGAATTCTCACAATAGCAGTGCGTCCAAAGCATTTCTTACACGCCTTCAACTCGGCCTTCGACATACTGCACATTACTGTAAATGAGACTTATGCAAAGATTTACTTAGGGAGTGAACAGCGAGTGCGTGGTTAGCCTGTTGGTACAAAATATCAGTTAGACGCATTGATGATGAGAGGAGACCCTTGTGACATCTCGTCGAATATGTGGCACCAATCACGAACAGTCGGTTTAGGTAGCCGTTGATCGTCATGCTAGTGAGCACAACCGTAATGCTGATGAGGTGGTGATGTAGTGGTGAAGTCACCACCAACAAAATCGATCACAACTCCTCTATCTCCTTCTTCAGTGAGGCGAATTGTCGCAGTTTTGACACATCCAGTTTAGGAATCACGCAGTCCCTCTGAACTGGCATACGAATCGCGTTGTAGTGTGAGTGCCACGCGTTGTAGCAACGGCTCGCGTTCCCAGGGCAACTGCACACAGCCCACGAGAACGCACAATCGTGCGATAACCTCAACCAGCACAGCCAATTGTCACTTATGCATCTCGTGTCAGTTCGAATGCCGGACAGCACAGTGGTTCGTCAACATGCTTTTTACTAAGTACTTTTGCAATAGTGCTTACCTTTTGGCCACTAATGCAGCCACTCAGATTATTTGCGTGATGAAAAACATGAACTTTTATATTGTTTGAATTTTCTAATACAATGACTTCAACTTGTTAAATATTTGACACAAATTATCCCTTCTTGGGTCATTTAATCACCCAAAGATTTCCTGTTTAAAACGTTGAAGTCAATTTGGCATCGAATTTTGTCCAAACTATATCGGTTTTCAATAATTGTATCATTTTATCTCAGCTTTTACATCATTGATAAAAGTGGTGCTTGGATTCGAGTTTTTATAGCCGTTGATATAGGAGTATCCGGTTTTAAAATGTGACCAATGGTGCGCTTCGAATATGTCGTCAGAAAGATGTGTACGAAATGTTTTTTTAGGTCGAAAAGTGTGGAGGATCAATTGAACGAAAGTTGGACGAATTGTTGGGAGAAACTTGCAAGGCGAGACCCGACAGGAAGCACTACACTTCGATGTCTCGCCTCAAGTCACCAGAAGGTAGAAATTGGATAGAGCAAGTTGATGTTGTGTTTTCTAGAGATGAGATTTCACGTTTTCAGCCATGGGCAATATCCTACCCGCCTGACCGATTCAGATCGCATTATGATCGACAATCAAATTGCAACTCTCACTAAGGTAAGATTTAACTTCGTGGGAAAAATTTGGGCTTTACTTGTCCTGATTAATAGCATTTTCACGAGTCTGTCTGACGTCATTTTGATGTCCACAATTTGGTGGCTGAACGTTGCCTATAGGTCGACAGTATCTGTCTAGCTGCTTGTCTGTTCCATAGCTCGAAATCTAGCTAATCGTCTGTGTTGAGTGGTTGCGAAAGCGACATTTTTTTAATCTCCACACCGACGACCAATCAGGACCCTATAGACGAAAAGCATAGTTTGGAAATTGGGCATAGGTTAGTCCGTACTCACGAGAGGGACCATCGCTGCAGTACAATTGGCTGGCTCAAATTCTACAATGGGTGGCGCTTAGTCAGCACCGCCTGTTGGCATGACAACCGACGTGTGATGGTAACGCTTTGCCCAGCACTGTCCATTGGACCGCGCTCACGCCAGACGCCTGCACGTGCCACTGGGAACGTCACTGTTGGGGGTGCAGTTGAGTGGCCTAATCTGAACGTGCGATGCGAAATCATGTTCCACAACGGTCCTCGCTCGAGTCCTTCTCACCGCCATGCAGTTCTAAAACCATCCAAACTTGTGAGTTGCATTTGTCATCAAAAGGCGTCTTCCACGGGTGTCAGCAGCCTGTGACTGTCGCACATTTAGCAGTCTTGTCAATCGAATTAATCAGGCTTATCTTAATTAGAGCAATTAAATGCAAGCATCCTTGGTATATACAAGTATCTAGGATAATTTACAAGCGCTTCTGCCATAAACTGAACCCACGTTTCTGCAATTTGATAAGTTCACTTCCCAAATGCATCCTGCAGATTCACAAGTAGTATATGTTTGATTTAGGAGAACGCCAAGCTCTGCGACGAGTTACAGGCGATGCGCCGGAACGAGACGGACTTGGACGAGGGTGTGCGTGAGGTACGAGGCTTCCTTCTGCGGGCGGAAGAAGACAAAAAGCGGCTTGCACAGAGAATTGAGAAGCTTGTTGCAAATGGTATGTCACTTGCGCACCCAGTCTATTATTTCGCAGCTTTTAATATTCCCCGCAGTTATTGATCTGAGTTTTGTTTGTGTGTGAATAACGCAATTTACACCGTGATCTTAGTTCAGACAGGATGATTCGCGGTTAAATAGAGTAGAAATCGATCGACAAGTGAATATCCCAGGATTAAACTTAAATTTTACGCACATATAAAGTGCGGAAATGCAAAAATCTAGAAGCAATCCATTACCATAATTGGCGCTCAGCCAAAATCATAATTAAAACAACATTTAAATCAAGAATAATGAGACAGATGTCACAGGCAGCATCGTAACTCGTGTAGGTGTCTACGGACTTCTGAAATGCTTGTTATCCACGTTCTTTAACAAAATGAATTTGCCGAGTGTTATGTTTCAATGCAGAGAGAGTGCTCGTGATGGAGATTGAGCGCCTCAAGCGCCGAGGGCCCAACGGAACAGGGCGGCCACCGATTCAGAAGAAGACAAGTCAGTTGGATGAGCACATCCTCGGTTTGGAGCAGGACCGGGATTACTGGAAGGGCCAAGTGGAACTCCTCAGTCAAATGCTCGCCTGCCCGGGTGTGGTTGGCCAAAAGCACGTCCTAAAACACACCAGCAGATCCCTGTCAGCAAGGCTGAATCGACCCGGCACTAATAAGGCTCGCAGAGATGACCGAAAAGACAAAGTAATCAGTGATGGGATGTGGCACGCAACTGTTGCTTATTGGTCAGCCCGCACACAATGATGTTTTCACAAATCCACGATCTCTGGTGTGAAGCGTTCCAAACTGTTATCCTTTCCAACGTGTTTTCCTTCACTTTAAATCAACGCTGATTCCCTTGGGACTACGATCACGGTCACGCAGATATCCATGTCTTTCACCTCCTCTTTATAGATCTAAACAACATTTTTTTTAAAAGCCAATTTTTTTCATATCTCATAGTATCGATTACCAATCAGCTCAAATTTTTTCAACTAGTGACTCTGCCGCATTATGCAAGTCGTTTGGCTGAATCTAGTCATCCAGACCTTTGCGTCTGATGTGTTTAATGCGCATTTCGTTCGCAATTTGTGAGTACAGCGCTATGCTTATGCCACCTGGGCCACGTTTACGGGAATTTGGTTCAGCTGTCAATGAATTTCTAAAGCAATTTTATTGAGACTCGAACCTTAGACATGAAATTTTTCTGGATTTGGCAAAACATCAGGTTAGAGGAAATACAGAAAGTCATCCGCATTTATTGGAAGGAGGTTTCAACAGTAAAACACATATTTTTTTCACGTGGTTATGAGTAGTCAATGGTGGCGTTGAACAGGTACACTCTGGATGGATTTTTGCACCATTTTAAGATTGCCGATGACACAAGAGATCTGCCGGAGACACAAACGGACTCAAAACAGCAGAGCGGTCTGCAAAGGAATCGATCTTCCACAGGACAATCATCGCTTCCGCGATCCCGCAGTCTTCCACGCGATGAGGTGAGCACCGACTCGATTCCTTCAAACTCGTTAAATGCCTTTAGTAATGTGCCAATCAGAGATGTTTTAATGCAATCCCAAAAAATGGGTCATTTTGATTGGTGAGGTGGTTTAAAAATCGATAGATGCTCCAGAAATTGTCTCTGATACATAAATCGATATCGAGCTTACTTTAAAGTTATCTTCAAAACTTGCATGAACTTTACTCTGACAAAGTTCCAATCACGTGGCCATTGACAAACTGTCAGTGAGGAGATATTTTTGTGAAAATTGTAGATTAGATTTCATATTCGCGCCACCAGATATGACCGCATCTGCTTAGCGTTGTTCCATAGGTAGAAATAGTTGTTAGTAGTATAGTTTGCACATTATATGCACCTTTTTTTTCACGAAAAATATAAGAAGGGTGGGATTGTGGGGTAGATGCTGCCAGCACCCACTTAACGCCTCAAAACGGTAATTGCATAAAACAGGAAACAACCTATCACTATAATGCAGCCCACTGAAAACGGTTTCCGGTGCGGGTTGAATACAACCCTCACCAACGGAAGCCGTCCGATTGGGCAGTAGGGAGTGCGTAAACGGCCCACTCGTTTGTGGCTGATAGCTGCGTTTTCCCTTCAACTGCAGCTATGCGGAGACGCACTGGAGAACCAGAGGTTGCGACTTGAACGCGATGAACTCCAAATGACGCTTAACCGCTTCGAAACGCGCATTCAAGAGGTTTGTGTGGCGGTTGGTTTTTTTCTAAGTACGTTCGTGTGACTTAGTTTTGTGCGTTTTTTGACAACAGATCCAAGGAAGCGTGCAAATTCTAACAAAGGAACGTGACGATCTACAGAAGCTGTATTCTGACGTAAGTTGATTGACCGATTGATTGATTGATCTACTGCTGAAAATCAAGCTTTTGAATGTGCTTGCTTCACTGACTAAGCGAATATAAACAATGGCATTACACCAATTTGAATCACGCGCGGGTTTCCCAGGTTGCGTATTATAAACAACAGCAACCTTGAAGCCCAGCTACGGATTCACATGACCAGGGTTAGTAAAATATCAGATAATTTGGCATTTTCGGAATCGCACGTCAGCAAATTCAGTAGTAACTTGCGACGCACACTGTCAATCAGAATTAAATCAACTCAAATATGAATATCAATCTACTTACAAAAGTACACTTAAAATGGGTTGTGAATAAGAATTTCCCTAAAACAACCAGCGTTCCAGTAGAATGGGTGATCGGGGTAACAGATTCACGTAAAAATTGGACTTTTGAGGCGTTTCTTGTGTGTTTGGAAGGCAAAGAACGAGATTCATCGTCTCCACCACGACCTCTATGACGTGCAGAACTCAGCCTCTCGACGAGACGTAAATCAGGAGGCTGTCAGTCGATATCAGGCGGAGCTGGAGAGAGCGCAACACGAGATTCAGCGTCTGACGGCTGAGCGAGATTGCCTGGCCAACAAATACAAGGTAAAACCCCATTAAGCCAGCCTCTTATGCTTTACACTACTAAATTAAATCAGTAGAAATTATTTAACATCTTTGAAAAGTAGGTTGGATAAGTTGTTGAGTGTGGTTTGTGGAGTTGTGGTGGAGTGCTGACACCAATTTTTCTCAGAAGGTGACGGAAATGGAAAGTGTGGACAAGCAAAGACACAACAAACAGATGGATTACATGGAAAAGGCGTTATGCGAGGCGACAAGCGAGCGTGACGAGGTGATGGGACGCATTTCCCAGCTCAAACGACGCCTCGAAGAACTCCAGTGCAACCAGGTGCAAATCGAAAAACGACTCACTGAGAAAAACGAGAAGCTGAAGGTTTGTCTGTCTGTTTTAAATAGCGTTGGATATTGCGTTCCCGCCAACTGAAATATTAACCAACGGCTTTGACTAGAGACAGTACATCTAGTGGTTTATTAATGCTGAAGTAATTTGACCAAAAAATGGGCGTGGCATTGCGTGCAGCTAAACCAACACCTGCAGTGTATACGCCCACGTTAATCTTAGAGTAGCTGTCGGGTTAGTAATTGGAAGCCATTTTTGAGAATTGTATTATACAATATGATATATAATACTAGCTACTGAGTATTAATAAGTACGTAGTCAATGTCCAAAGTTGTTAATTTAAAGACGTATTTCCTTCGGTAAAAAATTGCAGAAATGCAGTGAAGAGACGAATAACCTTCGGCTGGAGTTGGATGCGCGTCAGAAGGACTTGGGAGAGACAGAGACCAAATTGATGGCATCACGTCAGCGAAACACCGAACTGGAGGCAGCGTGTAGTCGAACCGAGGCGATGGCCAATGACACGTCTAGACGGCTGCAGTTGGGGCGTGAGGAGATCGCACACCTCCAAGACCAGCTCGTGGAGACCTCGAATGAGCGCGACAAACTACAGGTGAGATAGACGCGTCGTGATTGGGTAGTTGTTGCTTTCTACATCCAACTTCATATCCAAACGATCCTCTTTGGTTGGAAGCTAGTTTGATGAAGCCATGGTCTTATCTTCCACAGTTGGAATTGGACGACCTCGTGAGGACAACGACCCAACTCCAAAAAAACAACAAGTACCTCGAGAAGAAGTATGTGGCCACAGTGAGCGAACGCGACGAAGTGAACACCAACTGCAATCGACTTGCCGCTGAAGTCAAAGACTTGGAACAGAAGCTGAGAGCCTACGAGGCCGACGCTTCCTCCTGGAAGTCTAAATTCCAGGTAAAAATGGTTATTTACTGTATATTACTTAATTTAAACAAGTGAGCATCCTCAGAATGAAGGCAGAGGGCCAGCTAATTATTTATTATTACTTATTATTGGTATTTAAAGCTCGAGAGGTCAGCCAATGAGGGTTTAGCTGAACGATGCTCAATTGCCGAGCGTCGAGCCGAGGAAGTCGAATTTCGCGCGCAGGGGTTAGCCAATGAGCTGCGAGAGAGCCAGGATGCCCGGTTCCAATTGGAACGCCAGGTAAAGTCGCTGACCGACAGCGAAGACAGGCTGAAGTCAAACACAGATCGTCTGGTTGAGGAGAATGCCGCACTTCGGGTAAGTGATAGAGCATCCTCTGGGGTTTCCTAACTATGATCATCAAACACCGTAAATTTTTGGGTTCTCCAGTGCTACTTTTTTTGTCTAGTAGCATAATTTCATCAATGAACTAGAATTCTGGGTTTCAAAGAATTAGTTGACAACAGACATTGTCTGCTTCTTCTTTCACTGGCGATTTCTTTCCAATATTTTTAGTCCAATATCGATTTGGCGAGCAAAGACAAGGTGAAGTTGGAGGCCTGTATTGAAGATCTGACGGCAGCCAATCGGCAACTTGTTCGCGATCGTGATGAAGTCGCTCACCGTTACTCATTGGCTCGTGAGAGAATCGCCGAACTTGAAGCTGATCAGCGCTCTCTTGAGGCCGAAGTAAAACGCGGAGCTGAGGCCCTAAATGTAAGACATTGATGTGCAATCATTAACATTTAACAAATCAGTTCTCGCATGCAGAAGTGCTGACAAATTGTGGAGAACTGCAAAATCCATCGCCACCAAAATGCCGTGTGGTGGAAGTTAGAGTTGTGTTTGGCATCTGTAGAATGACCGCCAGGCCCTCACGGAGCTGAGAAAGCAGCAGGAGGCAACGAGACAGCGATGCGAGGAACTGGAGGGCGAGCTAATGGACGCACTGAACAAGCACCGCAATGTTGAAGAACGTCTGCACCAAACGGAGCTGCGCGCGAGTCAACTGGAGCGCGAACTTCGATTGGAGCACGACGACTACCTACAGGTCAGATCGCGACTGGAGGCCACAGAAGAACAGAGGGACGCACAGGATGTAAGTCCACTTGGTGTGGGATGGTAACCTCCAAGCCGTTAATTCTCCAACGGTAATCTCAAAGCCAGACATCATGGCCCCAGCTCCAACCGTGGAGGAGATTGAGGCTGTTGCATTTTCGGCTGGAAGTGGTGGAGCTTCACCGAAGCATCCTTCAACACAATCATGCGCCTTACTTGATCAGTGGGCCCATCAATTGATTCTTAAGCAGAGGGCCCGACCTCAATCTTGAGGCTCCGGTGATGGTGATCACTTAACCACAATCGTAGAACTGTTGTACACTGTAGAAGGCTAGACACATACGCTGTATCGGTTGGCGTTCAATCTACTCGCGTTCTCTTCTAGCCAATCACCTGTCATCCACTCAACACGTATTCGATGTCTTTTATGTCGTGATTTACGGCTAAATCTTGTGTGCTTTACCATTTTTGCTGTGCAGGCGAACAGGAAGGTAATTTTGCAGCGTGTTTCTGAACTGGAAGCCCAGGTGACCTCCCAAATGAAGGAGTTGAAGGAGACGAGAAATGCTCTTGAAGAGGAATCTCGCATCCTAGCACGGAAGGAGGAACAATTAATGGTAAATTTTGAATCTGAACCTGGTGGTAAAGGAGATTTCTCATTGGCTGGACATGCGCGCGTGGGGAGTTTGACGTTTCTTCCAGGGAAATCACCTGACAGCAGATTAAGAAGGCAGGCGAGGGACAGAGAGCGAGGCTCAAATGTTTATCAGAGAGTTCAGTTAACCTGCCTTGTAGTGTCACTGTGCGTAGAGGATCGTGTGTGGCTAGTGAGGTTGTTGACCAATCAAATTCGAGCAACCTAATTAAAGTACAAGTGATAGGTAGAACAAGTAGAGACAGTGGGTGATTGACCGTGTCCGCATGAATGAGGATTTGTCGAACAGTGTAGACGGACGTGAACCAACGTGTTATTCACAGCAAATCCACTGAACAGGCTCATACCGCCACCAAAGTACACAAGAGCAGTAGATATTGATAACTACCGTAACGTTGATATTGGCAGGTTGGATTTCACAAAAATTAGATGTGTTAGAAGAGCAGAAATGACCGAGGTTTTTTCCCATCACAGACAAGTCTCGCGTCTGAGCAGTCGCTGAAGAGCGAAATAGCCGCGGCGCAAAGTAGCCTTCGTGAGTGCAGGAGAGCGACCGATTTGGCGGAAAAGGAGAATATTCGACTGCGAGAAGAACTTTCGGGCATGGTGAGGGATATTCAACGATTGGAGGCTGTGTACCGGGTAAGTCACTTGATGCATTTGCCACTCTATGAAGTGTTGGTATTGATATCATTGCAGTAGCAGAATATTTATAACTTCACAAACCATGGTAATGTAGGTTAAAAAGAGGAAGAACTTGGATTGGATTGGAACTTGGATTCGCTACTGAGCCCTGTCGCCATTACTTTCAACAGCTTTAATTAACACGTACGCAGGCAAATGCGTTTGTCGACGAAGTATGTCAGACATCTACGTGCGATTTCTAAACCATGTCACACGGTCAAGTCTGAGTAGGAAGCATTTATCGCAATTTCTGACTCGTATTTTTCAGCCTATAGGTGATTATTTGTGTTATTTGTAGTCTGGTTCACAATCATTTAAACAAACATGTTTTGATATCAATAAGGTTTTGAAAAGTTGCTTAAAATCACCAGCGAATGTGGCTAAGGCTCCTTCCTATTCTTTTAATGCACCAATCAAAGCAATATTGAGAGGCGGATTGTGCTCTATCAATGAACCAATTAACCAATCAGCTGTGTTTGTTGCAATGGTACACACCTCAAGGGCTACTGGCCAATCAACTGGCATAGAATTTAATGGCATCCGATTAGTGAGTTATCTGATTCTAGGAGACCATGGATGAACGCGACGATCTCAAACAACGCGTGGAAGACTACCTGGGTGAAATCAGTCGCCACGAGCGCCTGCTCGGGGAGAGGGTACGCGAGAGGGACCTGCTGGGGGAACAGCTGCGCACCGCGAACGAGGACGCGGACATCTGGCGGTCGCGCTGGGAGAAGGCCGAAGCGAGTGCGTCGGCGGCGCGCCTCGAATGCGACGAAAAGGAGCTCGAACTGACGCGCAGTGTGGACGCCCTCGAAGCTCGTGAACGGGAACTCGCGCAGTGCAAGGCCAACTTAGCCAAGATGGAGGCGCTGGTAGGTTGGAATTTGACGCAACGTTTAAACGCTCCTATAGCAGCAGCTGCAGCTTATTAGATGGTGTCTGATTACCTTGATTTTCACTGTCTCGAGGTACTAACGTTTGATGCAATTTACGCCTTTTGCAGAACCAGACTCTGTCCAAACAAGCTACGGAGGAGGGCGAGACGGCCAGGATTGCGCGGGCAGAAATCGATGCGTTGTCCTCGGAGATCTCCCGGCTGCGTGAGTCCCTCGCACGAGCGGAAACCGCGCGCTCAGCAAAGGAGCGTGAAGTGATCAACAACCGCCTCGAAGTTGACGAGGCCCGATCGAGGCTGCAGGAGCTTCAGGCTGCCCTCCAACACGCGAATGAAACCATTGCTGCGGAGAGAGAGAGTGCACGGGCCGCGCATCTCCTGCTTCAGTCGTCCAGGGAGAAGGAGCACGCTTCGAGCCTGGAGGCACAGGTGATTTTGTGTCTCTTATCAGTGGCATGCACGTAGTGGAAGTGAAACCTTTCGCACGAAAACTTGTTAATGCAATCCGGCCATAAAAAGGTCTTACGACAATTCCAGTGGCCGTTTGACGTCGGTACTTTTGACTCGAATTTCTGTGATTCCATGGGGCGCCTATTGCTGTGTGTGGTGTTCAGTGGTCTGATCCAGTGATCCACTGAGTTGCCACGGCTAAAGGTGGTTGATCTTGTGTATTTAGACTCCGACAGTCCTTTGTATGCAATCCTGCTGCAGCTTTAAACAATCACACTGTAATTTAACAAAAGAAGTTTAGTAAATAAAAACGCCCGTCGTGATTTTTTAGAGAGTCTGATGTCGCAAATGGAAAATATTTTTTATAACATTAAGCGTTTGCCCGATGGCGTTATTTAAATATTTAACCATAACCCAGGCGACTAGGAGGAATTGCCTTATCTGGAAATTTAGTTCTGCCGCCTTCGCCTGTCCCTAATTGTCAATTTCCCTGCTTTTTCGTCACGTTTCTCTGCCTAAACCGTCCAAGTCAATTGTCCGATTCTCAATTTGCAGGTGCAACGCCAAGGGAGTGGATTGTGTGTCGAGTCTTGTGTGTTGATCGATCTCACAAGGGTTGTCTTGCGTATTGTAGGCCTGAAAACAGCCTTTCAGCAAAGCATCGTGAATCCCTTAATCGGGAAAGCGGTTTCCCTTTCAGCGGGTCAAGTGTCGCCAAACTGACCTCAGGAAAGTGATCCGTGTTGTCTGAGACACATTGGCAACAAATGTGTCCTCTTGCTAATGCGTTTGTATTGCTACTTGACGCTCAAATAAGCGTATGGCGAAAAGCTCCCGGTGGGCATATTCAAGACCCGTGTTTATGAATCATTTTTGTTAATCGATTTTCTCTGAACCCTACATTCCTGTGGCTGGATCGGCAAAGGAAATCCTAATTACTCACAGAGCAGGTTCCCTCAAAGACAGTCGAGTGATTTTCTCATCAACCATTGGTGCTTGCTGCAGGCAGAGGGAGGAGGAAGATGCTTCAATTTTTCGCCACTCTATCACTCGGGGGTCGATCCTGTGGCCAGTGGCGTGTGTGTGTGTGTGGGATCTTAGAAGGTGAGAGTGGCATCGTCTGTTTATGTGAACCTTCCAAGTGCAATCGAGCACATTCGAGGAGTCAGTCGAGAATGCAGGCGGTCGTTATGGGAGCGTG